TGAAACATACTGGAATTGAAAATAAAAATTCGTACTGAAATTGTAAAACAAAACAATAAAAAGTTGGCTACAAACTTTACTTTAATTTATAATTGTAATCATAAATAATTAAAATAAACATACATACACCTAATTAGTTAAAATGATAATTAAAACTAATTACTTAAAAATTAAACTACAAAGCGGTTTTATATAAATCAATTACAAAGCGGTTAAAAATAAATTAATGTACATAAAAATTAAAATGCAAACCGGTTAAACTAATTGCCGGTTGTTGCTCATATATGCTCAACCAAATTCGCGCGAAGTTGATGATGTAATTACAAGTCATGTAACTCGACATTTCTTTGTAAATATTGCGAGTCGTGTAACTCGGCATTTCTTTGTAAATATTTCTTTGAGAATTTTGGAGAAATTAATAATTTTGTGAAGATGGTTGGAAAGAAGGAAAATTAGATTGTGAATTTTGATGACTAGAATTGCTTTTTTACATTATGATATGCAAAAAAAAAAAAAAAATGATTTGAGATGCAAAAATTGAGAGAATAATATAAATGAATTGAGAGTATGATGAAATGTGAAAAAATTATAGAGATAACTGGTACTTATAGATAATTTGTTTTTTTTTTTTTTTTTTGTTTTTTTTTTTGTTTTTTTTTTTTTTTTTAAATAGCTATTGCCAGGCAACGGTCGAAAATATGGGCGTTGCCTGGCAACGACTTAAATTTTAAAATCAATTGAATCTGGCGGTCACTCTCAATCTCCCAGACGGGCATGTGTATCACACGTGCCTGTTGTGTGGGCGGTGAGACACAATCTTACTAGCTTTGTTTTATTTTTATTTTTATTTTTATTTTTTTGTCTAACAAAAATCATATGTTGTAGGGGGAAGTTTTCCAAAAAATTGAGTAGCACATCAGTAAAAAACCAAAACATTGTTTTTACACTTGTTAGTGTTTTAATTGCTCAAAAAATCCCAACATATAATTGGCAATATTATTATGGCAATATAAGATATGGTTAACTTGGTGTCGGTTTGTGTAACAGAAGACTGATTGATCAGATACAGCACCAGACGTACTGACACTGAAGATCTATTTTAGGAAGATGTTTCCTTTTACTGAACGCGGTTTAAGAAGTCAGCTTTGGAAAGAATATCAGCGGATCTGTCTTGGAAAGGTATGGACCGAATATTTAAGATTACATCCTTCTCATATAGTCCTACCATCTACAATCAGAGATACCTATGGAAAATGTTCTTGCTATGGAAGTATAAGTACCCTTATTCGGTCATGAATAAGGGTTACGCTTTTGAGAAGAAAGAAACACTTCGACATATTCTAAGAGAACACATCTTTGATTATCATGCCTCTTCTCAAGACAATTAGTTCTTGTTGATTATGATGAAGAACTTGAGCAGAGATATCGTTGCTTAAACGAAAAGGACGCTAAGATCACACAGTTGTGGGAACAACATTAGACTGCGTCACTGAAGTGGACTGCATCAGAGTTAGCTCTCCAAGTGAAGGGATTTCATTGGACTTCTGTATGCACGGCTCTCCATCTTCAACAATCCACTAAATCGGTGTAGACTGGGTACGTACCTTGTGTGGGGAACTTGGGTGTGATTATTGGTTCTCTACCTTTGTACATTGGATTATTTGTTAGTGGATTGGACGCCTCTGTGATCGTCCCCCAGATGTAGATACACACTGTATCGAACTAGGTAAACATCTTGTGTGTTGTTCTTTTCGTTGTTTGCCTTAGTTTACGCTTTCTGCAAACTAATTAGTGTTTCAACTATCTGATTGATATCATCACTGAATCTGTCAGTCTAATCCATCAGTCGTTTAATCCTATTAATACTCTTAAATTGAGAAAATGCAAAATTACATGTGGTATCAGAGCTTTTAAGTCTACAAAGTGACTTGATCCGTACGGGAAGTTTTTGCTTTTGCATTGCTCTCTTTTTATTGGAAGTGTCTCTGGTTGTCGGTTGGCAGTTTGCCTGCTTGTGTGTTTTTGGCTGGTTGTTTTTATTCAGGATGGTTGCAAGCATGAAACCACCAGAATTGGACGGTCACAATTATTCATTCTGGAAGGCTCGTATGGAGATCTATCTTCAGGCACAAGGTACCAGAGTTTATCGTACTGTGTTGGTCCCGATAGGGTGGTGAAAGTCTAGAGGGAGGGGGGGGGGGGGGTGAATAGACTTTCAAGCTTTTTCAAAATAAATAACTCTTTGGTAACTTCAACTCTAAGTAACAAGTAAATAGAGTAAGTTTAAAACTGCACAGCGGAATAATAGTATGTAAAGAGTTATGCCCAACTAATAATTTAAATGCGCATGTAAGATGGGTACAGATGATATGTAAAGTGACAGGGATATCTTGAATATATAAAGGAGATGGTGCACTCAATATATAATAATAATATTCAAGATTGTAAATAAATATCGTGTCACGTCGCTCGTGTAACGAACGTTACATGCAACACGTCAAACTTGCTTAGAATAATCCAAGATTTAAGCTCGAAAAGTTTGAGTCACATGCATACGTGAAAACACACTAAACCCGAACGGTTGTGATTAACTGTGAATAGTAAACGGGTTAGTCGGATAAAATAGATAAATAGAGCAAATTATGTAAGTGCGGTATGTAAATGAGAGAGGCAATTTATAGTGGTTCGGAAGTGGCGTAATCTTCCTAGTCCACTTTACTCCAATCAGTTCTAGGAGTAATTCACTATTTTCCACACACAGTTACAATAGTGAATAAGCGCTACACAAGCACTTCTTCCGGATGTCTTGCACACAGCTACACCCAACTCCGAGTGTTTCGCACACAGCTACACTCAACTCCGAGTATTTCGCACACAGCTATACTCAACGCCAACTAAGTGTCTTGCACACAGCTACACTTAGCAACTACGAGTGTTTTGCACACAGCTATACTCTTTCTACAATTACAAATACAAAGGTAATTGTATCTCTCTCCAACTAGATTTGAGACTATTCAGACTAAGTCTCTAAGAATATTTGAGCACTTGCACTTTTGGATTTTGCACTTTGTTTATCCGTGTGTATTGCACCTCAATCTCTTCTCTGTTGTCTTCAAGTCTTCATGGCTTTTTATAGGCAATCAAATATATCCATTGGAGTGAGATAATTTGATATTTGAAATTTGAATCTTCATAGCCTGATATTGTTGACAATAGTAGATCTTCAATTTTGATTTGATTGTCAACTTGCCTGACAAAATAATATTTTATCTCAACTTGATTTTCAAGTTGTTTCTTAAAAATATTATTTTTATTGTCAATTTGAATATCCAACGAATCTTTGAAATAAATTCATCTGATAGAATTTATTTATAGGATAAGTTTTTATATTCATGTCTTCATAAATATTTTTCCGTTCTGATAAAAAATCTTCAGGCAATTTTGGACTCTTGTGGCATGTGGGCTGATCCAAAATAAATTCCTTCGAATTTATTCATTTTCTGAACATCTTGCTTCTTTGCCACATTGTGTTCCTTTGACTTTGGCACTTCTTGCTTGTTTGACTTTAACATTGTGCTCTTTCTGATTTGGTCACATTGTGCTCCTTTGAACACATCGTGCTTGTTCACACTGTGCTCTTTTTAGAACATTGTGCTCCTTTTCAATCATTGTGCTCCTTGGGCACATCTCGCTTGTACACATTGTGCTCCTTAAGGACATTGTGCTCTTTTGGAACATTGTGTTTGTCGTGCTCCTTTAGGAACATTGTGCTTGTCCGAAAACTTGACTTCTAAAAATTAAGTCCTTGGGGGGGGGGGGGGGGGAATCGAACTTGACTTGTAAAAATTAAGTCCTTAGGGGGGAATTGATCTCAAGTGTGATTGTTTTAAGTAAGGACTTCTACCATTTCACCATTAAGCTCATCAAGCTAACCTTTGCAACGCCATTCCTTTATGCATCTTTCTCAGATGAATACTCGTAGGACCAAAATTAATTTCCCAAATTAATTTTGTTCTTCCTATGGTAGATTCCTTTTGACTCGATATTCTGATTTATGATGCTTGTACTAAAAGACCTAAAAACCAAGGGGATCTAAAGTACATTTGGCTCATCAAAACTTACAAAAATATTCCTATCAATTTTCCCCCTTTTTGATGACGCCAAAACCTATACTCAGTCATTTGGCTTGTCTTTTAAAAACAATTATTTTTCAAAAGATTTTATTAATTTTGACATAGCCAAGACGATTTTAACATTTGATATTGACTCTAGGAAATGTATTTTTAGCAACTAAATGTCTATTCGCATTTTTGGAGTTTAATGATAATGAATTTTGTACTTTTTCCAATTTATGCGATTTGATACAATCTAAGCTAAAATGTTACCTTTCAAGACAAATAAAATAGGGTGAAGTGTCAAATAGCACCATGAACCAATAGCGAAATGTCATGCCGCACCCTAATCTTACATAAGTGATGATTCGATGCACAAACTAAAAAATTTTGTCCGCCTAGAACTTTTTATAGGTTTCCTGGTATCCCTGATGACATGGCGCCAGTATTTATCTGACGTGGAATTTGTTTTTATTAATGTGTCCCAAATTAAAATTTTAGAAAAGTTTTGGGTTATTTCTTAAATAATCAAAAGTTCAATATCTAACTCTTCTTCCTTCCCAGTTCCATCGACCACTGCATCTACACCATCTCCAACCTCCACTGGCTTCTCTTTCACTCCGATACCCTCCTCCGTCTCACCGTTGACCACTGCCTCGACTCCATCCCCAACCTCCACTGCCCTCTATTCCACTCTGAACACCCTCCTCTGCCTCGCCGTCGACCACTCCACCGCACAAATTTCACCACCCTATCACCGCCAAGACTGCCAAACCCATCCTCCCTGTTCCTCTATGAATTTAACAAAAATATTGCGAGCATCTAGCACTCCAATGTGAGCCGCACCACCAATTACATCGTAAATCAGATTCGTTTACTAACGGAGAATTTTGCAGGGAAACTGCAACCAACAGAGCCCGGTATGCTTGCTAAACGCGATGATGAGTTTTACAAGACAAATGTAAGTTTGCAGAGTTCTATGTTTTCTGTAAAAACTTAGTTCAGTGTCAATTTCCAGAGATATTTGATCCTGTGACTTGAAGCAAATCAAACCAGTTTTTAGCTTCCTCAATCCTCGTTGTGCTTAATAATGTTTTGTTGACCTGACAACAACAAGGTAAAGAAGCCGAACGAGAAGAAAAAGAAGAACCATGCCATAGCTAGCATCGAGAAACATTCAAAGGAAGATATCGGGTTGTTTGATCATCTGATAGAGAAGTCCAAGGCAGAAAGGAATGCCTCACTGAACCATTCGTCGCCTGTTTGTTGTTCTCCGAATGTGGCAGAAAAAACGGGGGGGGGGGGGGGGGGGGGGGGGGCTTTCAGCAGGGTTCGAGTTAGGTGGAAGTGCATAACAAGAACAAGATAAACGTAACAGCAATCTTGGAAGATATCTGCAGCCAAATTCATCTGGAAAACAAAGATGCAGCGAGAAATGTTACGAGTGCAGATTATGAGCTGGTTCAGATGAGTGCCAAGGCGTTTATTGATCAAATGTTTATAGATAGAAAGTACATCAAGAGAATCCAGGCGAGCTGCGAGTTTACAGACTTCTCTGATGGGTTCGAGATGTTGAATTCGAACAAGGACCTGTTCCTGAAGTTCCTACGAGAACCGAATTCATTGTTGGCCAAGCAGATTCAGAGTTTGCAGCTCAAGGAAATGGAAAAGGAGACAATCAAGTCATCTCTCCCTGTTGCTTCGTAATCAATCAATAATTTAATATTTTTGTTTTACTAATTATACAGAAAAGTTGGGCAATGATTGCGAGCCGCACCACAAATTTCTTCCTCTTATGATGTAAGTTGACCAGTACATGAATATACATTCTTTCTTCCTTCGCATACACTGCTCTGTCCATCAGTTTTTGACATCTCAGAGAGAAAGAGAAAGAGAAAGAGAAAGAGAAAGAGAGGGAGAGACGGAGAGAACAACGATGGTTGCGTACGACAATTTTTTTTTTTTTTTTTTTTTTTTTTGGTTTTGATGAAGGTGGAGGGAAGAAGCAAACATCATGGGATGAAGAATTTCTTGCGTGAGAATTCTGGATGAAGAATGTATGAATTTGGGGCAATTTGGATATTTTAGAAAATTAGGCTTTGTTTATTCAAGCAAAATGATGAAATGGATGCCATGTCATACCAAATTACCTCCACATCAACAAGTTATTACCTATAACTTGAAGGCAACCTATAAAAAGTTCTAGGCGGATAAAATTTTTTAGTTTGTGCATCGAATCATCACTTATGTAAGATTAGGGTGCGACATGACATTTCGCTATTGGTTCAGGGTGCTATTTGACACTTCACCCAATAAAATAACAATAGATAACAGGGAAAGCTTAATAGCATCATAAACAGATAATTCGAACCATTTCAAATTGTTCCATGATCATGAGTTCAAGTTCGTGGACCATACACCAAAACATGTGACAATCATACAAATCACTTGATGATTCTGTTTCTCCTTTCTTCAAGCACATGATTTATATGGTTTTGAACTTCAATGAAATTGTCACTAATGGCATAATTGTTGCATACCTGCCCAATCACATAATAGTTGAACAAGAACAAGATAAACGTAACAGCAATCTTGGAAGATATCTGCAGCCAAATTCATCTGGAAAACAAAGATGCAGCGAGAAATGTTACGAGTGCAGATTATGAGCTGGTTCAGATGAGTGCCAAGGCGTTTATTGATCAAATGTTTATAGATAGAAAGTACATCAAGAGAATCCAGGCGAGCTGCGAGTTTACAGACTTCTCTGATGGGTTCGAGATGTTGAATTCGAACAAGGACCTGTTCCTGAAGTTCCTACGAGAACCGAATTCATTGTTGGCCAAGCAGATTCAGAGTTTGCAGCTCAAGGAAATGGAAAAGGAGACAATCAAGTCATCTCTCCCTGTTGCTTCGTAATCAATCAATAATTTAATATTTTTGTTTTACTAATTATACAGAAAAGTTGGGCAATGATTGCGAGCCGCACCACAAATTTCTTCCTCTTATGATGTAAGTTGACCAGTACATGAATATACATTCTTTCTTCCTTCGCATACACTGCTCTGTCCATCAGTTTTTGACATCTCAGAGAGAAAGAGAAAGAGAAAGAGAAAGAGAAAGAGAGGGAGAGACGGAGAGAACAACGATGGTTGCGTACGACAATTTTTTTTTTTTTTTTTTTTTTTTTGGTTTTGATGAAGGTGGAGGGAAGAAGCAAACATCATGGGATGAAGAATTTCTTGCGTGAGAATTCTGGATGAAGAATGTATGAATTTGGGGCAATTTGGATATTTTAGAAAATTAGGCTTTGTTTATTCAAGCAAAATGATGAAATGGATGCCATGTCATACCAAATTACCTCCACATCAACAAGTTATTACCTATAACTTGAAGGCAACCTATAAAAAGTTCTAGGCGGATAAAATTTTTTAGTTTGTGCATCGAATCATCACTTATGTAAGATTAGGGTGCGACATGACATTTCGCTATTGGTTCAGGGTGCTATTTGACACTTCACCCAATAAAATAACAATAGATAACAGGGAAAGCTTAATAGCATCATAAACAGATAATTCGAACCATTTCAAATTGTTCCATGATCATGAGTTCAAGTTCGTGGACCATACACCAAAAACATGTGACAATCATACAAATCACTTGATGATTCTGTTTCTCCTTTCTTCAAGCACATGATTTATATGGTTTTGAACTTCAATGAAATTGTCACTAATGGCATAATTGTTGCATACCTGCCCAATCACATAATAGTTGAACAAGAACAAGATAAACGTAACAGCAATCTTGGAAGATATCTGCAGCCAAATTCATCTGGAAAACAAAGATGCAGCGAGAAATGTTACGAGTGCAGATTATGAGCTGGTTCAGATGAGTGCCAAGGCGTTTATTGATCAAATGTTTATAGATAGAAAGTACATCAAGAGAAGCCAGGCGAGCTGCGAGTTTACAGACTTCTCTGATGGGTTCGAGATGTTGAATTCGAACAAGGACCTGTTCCTGAAGTTCCTACGAGACCCGAATTCATTGTTGGCCAAGCAGATTCAGAGTTTGCAGCTCAAGGAAATGGAAAAGGAGACAATCAAGTCATCTCTCCCTGTTGCTTCGTAATCAATCAATAATTTAATATTTTTGTTTTACTAATTATACAGAAAAGTTGGGCAATGATTGCGAGCCGCACCACAAATTTCTTCCTCTTATGATGTAAGTTGACCAGTACATGAATATACCTTCTATCTTCCTTCGCATACACTGCTCTGTCCATCAGTTTTTGACATCTCAGAGAGAAAGAGAAAGAGAAAGAGAAAGAGAAAGAGAGGGAGAGACAGAGAGAACAACGATGGTTGCGTACGACAATTTTTTTTTTTTTTTTTTTTTTTTTGGTTTTGATGAAGGTGGAGGGAAGAAGCAAACATCATGGGATGAAGAATTTCTTGCGTGAGAATTCTGGATGAAGAATGTATGAATTTGGGGCAATTTGGATATTTTAGAAAATTAGGCTTTGTTTATTCAAGCAAAATGATGAAATGGATGCCATGTCATACCAAATTACCTCCACATCAACAAGTTATTACCTATAACTTGAAGGCAACCTATAAAAAGTTCTAGGCGGATAAAAGTTTTTAGTTTGTGCATCGAATCATCACTTATGTAAGATTAGGGTGCGACATGACATTTCACTATTGGTTCAGGGTGCTATTTGACACTTCACCCAATAAAATAACAATAGATAACAGGGAAAGCTTAATAGCATCATAAACAGATAATTCGAACCATTTCAAATTGTTCCATGATCATGAGTTCAAGTTCGTGGACCATACACCAAAAACATGTGACAATCATACAAATCACTTGATGATTCTGTTTCTCCTTTCTTCAAGCACATGATTTATATGATTTTGAACTTCAATGAAATTGTCACTAATGGCATAATTGTTGCATACCTGCCAATCACATAATAGTTGAATGCTTCAATGATGTTGTCTCCGGGCAGTATTCCTTCTTCATACCAAATGATGCACTCTTCTAGACTTCTTCCACTTTGTAGCTCGACATCATTGACTTTGATATAGTCCTTTAGAACCATGATCATCAAAGCTCTCGCATAGCTTTTGATCCTCCTGAAGTTCTCATTCGAAACCCACAAATTTTGGTCACTTGGACCACTTTTCTTCATTCCCTTTGGTAGGTCATTCAAGCTTGCCAATCTTGGCATTTCAACTCTACCATCTCTTGGTGTGGATTCCAAATATAGAGCTGCTTTGTTGTACCAATTGATTTGCTCAACATTTCCACCTGCACAAACAATATCACGAAATGAACGGTTAGTGGTATTTGCACTGCTTGATCTTCCTGGACTGCCAGCCTCACCACCACCGAACCAATATTCCAATCCTCCTTTTCTAGCAACATTTCTGCCAGCAGATCTGCCTCCTCCTCCTCTACTACTGCTTGTACCAACATTTCGGGTAGCCATGGCAGTCATCATCATTTCAAGCATGCCTTCCAAATGACTGAATCTCTCTTCCCCCTTTTTGGCGTAATCAATGAGTGTATAAACTGACTCACGAAGAGATGAAACAGATTCAGATATGTTTTCATATGAACCTCGAAGGCAGCCCACTTTGGTATTGATGGAGATGAGATCTGTGTGGACATCACTAATTTGCTTCTCATGTTGATGAACCACATTGAGAATCCCTTGACTTTGATTCACGGTAATTGCTTCATTTGCTTTTCCAGAATTTTTGAGGATTTGAGATAGTTGGATGTAGAACTCATTGAGTTGCCCTTTGACATTTGCATTCAATCCACCAACTTGTCTCTCAAGTGCTTGATGTGTGTTGATCAAATGTTGTTGACTCCTCCGGTTTTCATCAAAAGATGTTTCGAATTTTCCTCCTTGAGTATTGACAACATGATCCACATGAGTGTAGATGCCTTGAAACATACTTTCCATTCGGTCAACTAGGCTTAGTATAACTTTCTCCAGATTTTTCAATTTTTCATTTGAGGATGTGCCATCAATGTCTTGCTCTTCTCGGGTTGTGGGAATACATCTTGCTCCTTCTTGAGCAGAATTGACTTCAAGCATGTGAGATTGTGCTTGATTTTCTAGTAAATTCCCTTCTCTTTCCGGCGTGTGTAGCACGTGTGTGTCACCTTGCATACTTTCTGCATGAATGGATTGAATTTCCTCCGTATGGTGGCTAACTTGCATGGCATTATGCTCTTGACTAATTTCAGTGAGATTCAACACACTCACATCATACAAGCCACT